AAATGACGGAACAGTTAGTTCCGAAAAAGCCTGTTTTCATGTCTTTGACCTGTATGCGTGATAACATTTTAAATACTAACAAGCGACGCCCACGTAGTACAATCAAAAGGACATACTTTGCGGCCGAACTCATATTCTGACATCCAAAAAAGCCCCTACTAATTCCTTGCTCAAAAGATGTCTTGCCAGTGCACGCTACGTCAAATTGTGTCTATGAATGAACATGCACTTTTGAATTCAAGTACATAGGGCGAAAGCAACGGCAATTGGTAGCCAGTGCTAAGAAAGTACTTGCCCAGATGGCTATTAAAACAGGAAAATAGAATTCAACGTTCATATATTAGAGAACACTTGCTTGAGACGGGTCACTACTCTGTAGACCCCAAACATCCTTCCGAGAACTTGCTTGGGCATGGACAAATCGTACCTTACGAACCTGGAAGCAGCCTATATACGGCGGTTAAAGCCCGACGTATGAAATCAGTTCGAGCGCGTGGTGAACCTAACTTCACCTTGGTAACACCCGGCTCCCTTATTTACAAATTGCTACGTCCACTTTTCTTCATTAAACATTTATTTCCTCACCGTTGCTTCCCACAGTGTTTTAAATTGCTTCCATTATTGATTAGGCTTCGTGGCCATTTTCTATGACCTTGCTGCTTGAATCGATTTTTCTGTACAAATTCAATTCTTTTTAATCTCTCATACATTATTAATGTTATGCAGCGAGAGACCGCATCTGAAGAGCACTCACAAAATTTATTGGTTTTATTAAATTCATTTGTCTATGCAATCATTAAATTTATCCCAGGGAGAAAATACTATTAGTTTGCATTCGTTTTTCAAGTGGAGTGAGTAATGCATCCAAACCAGAACAATGGGTAATCATGGATCAGTTTATCGGTATGTGGCCCTGACTTCTTAAGTAAATGTTCAGAATTCGGATCTTTATAGATCATGTCTACAAAAGAGTATACGTTAGGTTGTAGACATGATCTAAGAGCATCCCAATGCAAAAACTTAATTCGTGAAGTCAGGGTCATACACCGATAAACTGGTCCATGCTTCCCCATTTTTATTTTGTATACGCTAATTTTTTCCCCTTCCATCCCCGGTCTTCTTGACCTTGTCTTGACACCAGTTATCATTGGGGAATTGG